GGATCAAAAACCTGGTACCCTTCTGTTCACACCAAAAATGGCTTGCTTGAATAGAGATGTGCATCCCCCAGATTTCTGGAAAGACAATGTATGAACTGCTTTTTTTCAACATGTGCGAAACCCGATGCTACAAACCTACCATGACTGGGGATGCTCATTGGATGCTCTAGACAACCCATTCAAATGGTGATAACAAGAGCATTATAAATCAATTGGGGATGGTGTTTATACTGGGGATTTTTCTATTGGCCAATACTGGGGATCATTGGGGATGGTTTATGACCAGTATATCCCCAGTTATGGATATAACCAAATTTTATATTAGGGATGATGATAAAATATATTAAACTATTATAAACATCCCCAATGTCATGATATTCGGGATGATTAATGATGATTACCCTCTGGTAATGACTAACATAGCTATTGAAAATGACCATTTATAGTGGAGTTTCCCATTAAAAATGGTGATTTTCCATAGTTACGTTAGTTTACCAGAGGGTATGTCAATACTGGGGATGGTTTATGACGGCCAGGCTCACCAGCATTGCAAGTATCGCCTTTGGCTGCTGCCACCCTGGTGAGGACAGCGATTCGATACCCGTAATTTCCGGTGTGTCATCGTTTTCGTGGCTGGAAAATCACCCATAAAATCTATAAAACATGGGAACATATGGGCAATATATATATATATATATACATATATTATGCAAATATAGGATCATCCCCGAACTAAATGATTAAATGATATTAAATGGAGCTTTGTAGCTGGAAAATCATCGAACTAAACACGGATTTTCCAGCCAGCCATGCTTGATGACACCGGATAGTAGAGCGGGGCCAAGAGTCCGTGTGTTTGAGTGATGGTTCAAAGCTTTCTGATGACCTGCTTGGTTTTAGAACCCTCCCATGCTTCTTGGGATATGGGGCTCCTATAACTATGGGCTTTGCTTGGTTATAAACCCCATCTTTGTTGGGATATAACATAATGGGAATAACGTGTTTCACGGCCCCCACCCAGTGTTTTCAAGTATTCTATATGTGCACGTTTCAGAGATGTTGTGCACGTGTCAGAGATGTTGTGCACGTTTCCCAGCAGTTGTGCACGTTTCAGAGATGTTGTGCACGTGTCAGAGATGGTGTGCACGTTTCCCAGCAGTTGTGCACGTTTCACAGAAGTTGCGCACGTTTCACAGAAGTTGTGCACGTTTCACAGAAGTTGTGCACGTTTCACAAGCCCCCTAAAAATGTTCGTGTTCAACTGCATTGGGGCGACCAAACACGTTCTCCCGAACATGATATAAGTTATAAGCCCTAAGACCTACAGGAACGGGGATGACAGGGCATATATCATGTTATAACTAACATAAACTAACATCATTAATAGCCCACTTGGGTTATTTCACTAGGCATATATTACACATCCAGCTTGGAACGCATGACCCTGCTGGGCTTGTCAGGGCCGGCTCATGTCCACCGAACTCTCCGTGACCATCTTCCTGGATGAAGGCCGTGCGCTGATTCCACTGCCGACTGGTCCGGTGACAGGGGGAAGCAACGTTGGACCAGCCAGTTTTCTGGGGATACCCTCTGGTAATGACTAACATAGCTATTGAAAATGGCCATTTATAGTGGATTTACCCATTGAAAATGGTGATTTTCCATAGTTATGTTAGTTTACCAGAGGGTATATGATCGTGTTAAGGTTTTAGATACATATGGGATATCTAAGCAACGACTGATGATATGTTTTGGTTTCAGTTCCAGTTAGAATTGGATATGTAAGGCTTATATCCCAACTCATGGGGATGATTGCCATGGGACATATCATATATCTATCAATCACTCAAGTAAGTCCAATTCAATGGGTCACCCCCCACTTACTAACATCACTAACGGATCTACCAACGGTGGATAGTCACTCACTTCATATTGGGTCAATTTTAACATGTAAGAAACTTGGCGATGTCCTTGGAGTTCGAGTTGATATCTCTTGGTGATTGGGGGATGACCATGATGACCATGATGACCATCATTCAACCACCTTTCAATCCTGGTGTCATCAAACCTGGCTGACTGGAATATTCCAATCAAAATGGCGGTTTATAGCTGGGAAAACCATCGAACTAAATGAGAGATTTTCCAGCAAGCCATGGAGCTGATTACCAGAGCGTACATTCTTTCAGGGAGTTTAGCATCGCTGGGGAGCTGTAGGAGCTGTAGGAGCTGTATCAGTCTGCAGTATCCAGCACTGAGATTCGCAGAGTCACTGGGTGGTCCCTTGACTTTGCGAAATCACGGAGAACGGTGAACCCTGCAGCAATTCTACTTGGCACTAGAAATCACCATGCTAATCTTATTGAGATATATTAATTCAATTTAATTCATATGTATTAAATAATTGTCAAAAAGAGATTCCAGCAGTTGATTCAAGGGACAATCTATAAACCCTTCTAATGGACGGGTAAACATCAGGTCTTCAGGTAGATGTTCACAGATGTTTCCCTTCATTAAACCCATAAAACATCATAAAACTATGGAATTACATGGAAAACATAGTTAAAACATAGCTTGTTTTTAATAACATGTTTATTGCTGGTTTCCAGGATATCATTTCAGCCAGGTTACGGGCCGTCGATTGTGCTGGAATTCCGGGACTTGGAGGAGAGACGACAGTCGGTGAGTCTTGGAATTCTGAATGGAATTCTTAATGGGATATTCATGATGAATGGAACATTCATGGAACATTCATGGAATATTTGTTGGGTTTCATGGTTGATTTTCTTCCAAGCCACGTATGATTTTGGGGGTTTCATGGTTGATTCAACAGCTTTGCTTTAAGGGAACATGGTTTTTCACAAATTTCCCATCATCTCATTCTGGGATGATGTCTTGATGCAGAAAACCGCATAAAATTCGAAGCCTTCACAGGTTTCATGTGGAAACAGATGGGGCTTTTTCTGGTTTTTCCAGATTGGTTCGGTGTTTTGGAAAACAGGAGCGAGACACTTTTGCAATTTGCCTTTCGATGTTTGTGGACGGCAGAAAGGCCTGGATCGTTATTTTTGTTTTTTCCGTTTGTTAGGCAGACATTGATATTTGAACATTATGGGATCATTATGTCATTGATAGTCATTATCAGTCATTGATATTTCAGTTTGTTAGGCAGTCATTGATCATATTGATACTTGAACATCGATCATGATCCCCTCGGTGTGGCCAGCATTGGCAGGTGGAAGTGGACTGCCGAGAGAAGCGTTCACTTTAGCGGGCACAGCAGGTGCCATGTCGTGAAAATTCGACAAGCACTTCAGATCTTTTACAAACAGGAAAGATACATGCTATCAGCTATCAGTTGATCTAAGTTGATCCTAAGTTGGTCTAACTTGGTCTAAGTTGATGAATTGATCATCATCTCCACTGTTTCTCCGTGTTTTTCCATTCTGGGGTCATGTTTGAGATGTGAAAACTCACAGCAGCGTTGTTTCTTTTAGTCCTGAGTGGCCGGGTGAAATGGCAAGCTGATTGGCGCTGATCAGCCTACAGGAAAAATGCAGCGAACGGAGTCAGAACTGGATTCGCGACAGCGCTGTAATTTTGTTGCAGCGATTGAAACTTCCATGATCTTCCATGGGATTGGTTAACCGTTAACCATGAATTAGCATGAATAAATGATAGAAATTATAAGATATAACTACTGTATACTACTGTAGATATATTGTAGTTATACATACGTAGTTACACTGTAGATTCCATTGACCTGATAATTTGTAAGGCTGAGTGCCGCCATGAAACAATTTCTGATGGTGCATCAGGAATAATCTAGTTGTCCGGAGTTGTGATTCTGGTCCTGACGACTTCTTTTAGAATTGAGGTGGTTGCTACAGAAGGTAGCGCCACGCACCTCTCATGTAGGAATAGAAAGGCGATCCGTGCACGTCTGACTCCTGAAATATCGCAATGAAACTCACTGACTACATGGGGTGCAATTGAGGTTCACCCTGGTTCTAAACCCCCAAAAAGCTGGGATATAACCCCTATAACTATGGTTACGGGCCTTTTTTCTCCACTTCGTTTGTAAGGTGGAAGAGGCCGCTGCAGGTGGTGCAGATGTTTCACAGGGAGCTTCGGCAGATCAGCAAGACCTGAGCTAAACCCCTGTTGGTTGATGATTAGTTCAGGGATTACCTTCTGGTAAACATACAAAAAAACTATGGAAAATTACCATGTTTAATAGGTATATAAATCAACTATAAATGTGCCATTTTCAATAGCTATGTTAAATTACCAGAGGGTATACTATCTGGGGATTGTCGCTTGAGCACTGCTCACTCGAGCATTTCATGGTCTTCTTGCTTGGTCTGACTCAACCGCGTTGCTCCTGCAGAAAATAGGATGTCACTGCGAGACGGCGACGCCAAAAGACTGATGTCTGTGCCAAACATGTGTGTTCTTCTTCTGTCACCAGATCACTGGTTGCTTTAATAGCTCCAGTTTTTTGATTGAACATGATGAGCATTCCATATTTTTGGGATGGTTTGAACCCGCCAAAGATGTTTGTTTTCTGTACCTTGAGCACGCACGATGTTTGAAACGTTCGGCTCAAAGTGGCCAGGGGGTTTAGCCTCTGGCAGGAACAGTATGGCCGGGAAGGTATGATGATGTGGAGACATCCGCAAAAAGGAATGGCAGATTCAAGTGATGTCCTTATCTTCACTGTATATCACTCTACTGACTGGATTCATACCATTTTTATTATACTGATAGATTGATAGCATAAAGTCATTTTTTCCTTGCTCACCTGTTTAAAAAAAAACGGCTGAGAGTAGCGTGTGAAAAGCTGCTGTTTGGGTGGCTGAAAGGCTGGACCGCACTGATGGTGCACCGAAAGTAGGAGTTGTACAAAGGTCAAAATTGTTTAGTGTCAACATTTAGATCTGTTTTCCAGTCCTATCGAAACATGATCAACTCATCAAATCACTACTAGTATACGATAGTATGCGTGTATAGGTCTAATCAATCTAATCATTGTTTCCGGAGTTCCAGAAAGACTCTGAAAAACTCATCATGCCCGGTCTTCAGCACTTGCTTCATGACCTGCGGTTTGGGCCAACTCCACCCCAAGGGAGTCAAGCCTCAGCTACAGGTGGCATGCCGAAGTGTGATCCTCGGATACCATCGGAGACCTGGAGCATCCTGGAGCACTGCAAAGTGGCATTCCAGATTGATTGGCCGCTTCGTAGTCTCACAATGTTGATTTTCCAACTTTCCTCTTTCCCACTCCTGCTTTTTGCAAATGTTGATGTTGCATACCAATTGGCGAAGTTTTTGATGCAACCTGTGAGGTCTGCCTTGTCGAGGTCCGCATCGGAGACGCGAGTGTCAACTGCTAAGAGCTCGCACTTGGGCCAAAGATGTGCGCACACATGTCGAAATAGCTGAATAGCCAATCAAATTGAGGAATTCATTGAGGATGGCAAACATATGTAAAAAATAGCAGAACAGCATAGAACAACTATATGACTTATGAAAATTGAGGAAATCAAACATTTCAAACCAACACGTTTCGATAATTTGTCTCAGGTCGGAAGACAGAGCCGCCAGAAAGTTGGATTTGAGAAGGCCGGAACTCTGTCATTTGCCTCATACAACATCTTGGCCAGATGCATTGGATGAAAAAGGGTGACGCAATCTTGGTACATAGAATTCTACATTAGTATATATATATATACGCTTTTTGTATAATTATATATACCTAGAACATCAGGTTATGCAAAATTAACGCTCGATCTTGAAACAACTCTTATTATTGACGTTTCATTTGTTTATCGCCGTTTCCCAGAAAAAACGTCGTTTCACATCAGGGCCCTTGCTGGAAAGAAACTGCCATGATATCATGTGATCTTCTGTGTACTTAAGGATGTTTGCTCGGCCATCGCCGCTTTCCAGCCCACACAATAGATTCAATAGATTAGATACTGCAGTGCGTATCTACTCAATCTGTTCTCATGTGTTGTCTTCACCCTTTTGCAGGATTACCACATCATGTTCCAGGATCAGGCGTATCAAATTGTCATGAAGGAAAGAGGGGAAATCGTTCTAACCATAATTACTAGAAACCCTGCCCAAGCATCGACTGTGACTGTCATGGCCCATTTTCCAGCCAGGCACTCAGATCTTATGGAGTTTTCTGAACCGGTTCCACATGATGCCAGCTTTCAAGAGGACACATCCTAGGACTCTTTCCCCTATTTTCCGGGAATCCAATCTTCTGGATAGGCGGCAAGTGCGCCCAATCATGTCCTCGTCAGCCTCACAGTTCACACTGTTCCAATTAAGAACACATTGGTCTCCTTGTTGGAGCGCTTCATCAATTTCCAGTGTTGTGTGTCGTAGTAAATGTAGTTTCGGTTTGATTGCAAAACCATTGAACTCATCATTCAACAGGACACTGGCAAGGGCACAGTAGCCACGGATCAGCCCCTGCATGTTGGAATAAAAGACCATTGAACATGGCCTCATGGCCCACAATCCATGCTCGTTCAAGTCAGTAAAAACTTTTCGAGCTGCTTTGCAAGTAGCCTTCATCAAACGGAAGGTTGGCAAGTGAGAATTATCCAAGGGGACATTTTCAAAACCTGCTAGTGCGACTGTCAGCCAGTCAATCAGGATCATTGTATCACTTCCCTTGGTATTGGACCAAGGGTACTTGTCCAGCCGAGGTAGCATAAACAGCCGGCGGGAGAATGTCCTCAATGCCGGGGACTTACCAACAGTCCTGCAATACAGGGTGAATCCCATGTGAGCATTCTTCAGTTTGGAATCAAAGTCCCCAACTGTTCCAAAATACCCTTTGGCCACGAGGAAGCACAAAATACTTCCAACAATGTCACGATATACCCCAAGTTTCAGCGTGTGAAATGGATCTCTTTTGAATTGCTTCTCAGGGATTTGTGGGCAGTAAGGGATCTGCACTGTGCATGGTATGTCAGTCCAGGGCCGCTGAGCATACCTTGTTAAGCTCCATGCTGGCCTGTCACTTGCTAGCTCCTCCCATGGAACCCCGGGTTGCCCTGCCATGCATTCATGACAGCAAGCGTAGGCCGCGATACGGCCCTGATTTTCATAGGATCTCTGAAGGGCAATTTTGGTAAACCACTTTAGATCTCCTTTTGCTCCAATAACTACAGCATTGTAGGTCTTGCCATCAGAACCTGTGCATCCCTCATAGAAAAGTTGGCGGAAGTCCTTGGACATGACATCCAGCAATTGCATAAGCGCTTTGGGGTGTTCATGGTGAATAGAACTTGGTATGATGAAAAGCGGCCAGTGGTGCAAAAAACTGTGACCCTTCATCGTCGTAGTTTGTAGCCTCAAAATGTCCAACTGTTTCTGGGTTAACTTTCGGTTGCAATCCCCAAAGCGACGCTTCAGTGAAGAAGACGGCTGGCATTGACAGGCAGCATAAGGTCTTTTTTTGCGGGCGCTCACTGCAGTTTGGTTCCCAAACACACATTCCATAGCAACCACAGCAGTATTACCCCTTCGCTTTCCACGGCCTTCATCGCCGTGCCAGTAAATGGGTATGACAGTTTCTAGTTGCCCATCATGTTCGCTGTACACAATATGATCTTGGTGTTGTAAACGAAAGGCTTGCCAGAAAGCCTGTAGGTGTTCTGCTCGGTCCACTTGTGATTGCAGACCCCCAACCAATACTCCAGGGTGGTGATTCACCAAGTACTCGAACAGGTCACAGGGTGAGATGTATGTAATTGGAATTGTGTCTCCAGATTCGGTGATATAGTCAAAAGTTTTCATTTTCACATCCCAGCCAAGCTTTCGTTGCTTAAATACTTTCCATACTTTACGCGAGGCATTGTTTTTCCAGGATTTCCCAGTACTGCATGTCAGTTTATGTTCTTTTCCAACAATTCCAGTGGCAGCAGCGTCGCCAAGGCGAATGCTCTGGGCATGGACGATTGGGACCTCAGGCCATGTGTGTGGAAGGGCTGGAAGAAGGAGACTTGGATGGGAAACATAATGGTTCCACATTAAAAAACACAGGGTCCAGGATAAGGATGTGGCCCCTTCAGCAACTGCTTCTGCAAGAGCAGTCAGGTCACCACTTTCATTTTGTTCCTCTTGGTGACCTGGCCCAAGAAAAGGTCCAAGGAAATAACTATTGTTTCATTAGTCAAACAAGAATAGTTTGGCGTGAGGACAACTTAATCAACAGCAGACAGTTTTTCTCCGCTCATTTCATGTTGCAGCTCCAGCTGGCGGATCGACTGCCATGCTGCAATGGGCCATGGGATTCACCCCTCCATCGC